GGCTGGTTTTCCTCTCTCCTTCCTGGAGTGGGAAGGGGGACCCCTGGGCGGGGCCGTCCTGCGAGCGCCTTCGGGCCACCGACAGTCCCCCGTGTCCGTGTCCGCAGGTGTCGTCGGGCTGGTGGCCCTGTACCTGGTGTTCGGCTACGGAGCCTCCCTCCTCTGCAATCTCATAGGATTCGGCTACCCGGCCTACGTCTCGTAAGTGCCCGCCCCGGTGTCCCTTCCGCTCGCCCTCTCCCGGTCCCAGGCCCCTGTCGCCGTTCCCGAGCGTGCAGGGGGGGGGGTCCTGGTTCCCACGGTGACGGCCACGGCTCTCCCGGAAGGTGCAGGACTTTCCATCAGACTGGGCCTTCGCGGACGCACGGGACGGGCCACTAGGAGCCTCCTGCCTTGCACCGGAGCCAGCTGCTCCTGCCGAGGCGCACGGCCCGCGTTGGCGTCTGTGCGCAGTGGAGCCCGCAGTTAGGGCCTCCCCATTCCGAATTATGTCAGCCCAGACACTGCAGAGAACAGTGCTGTCTTCGTTTTTAAAAAGGCCAACTTGGGAAGTGCTTACCCGAGTGTAAAACAAAACCGTGTAACGTGCTCCATAATGCAGCTCCTGGGCGAGAGATGACTGCCTTATGTAATTAAGCTGGAAAGGAATCCCTGGCCCCTTGGGAACGTCCTGGTTCCTGCCCCAGGGGCTCCTGGTCCATGCACAGGTGGTCCTGGCCTCCAGGCTGGGTCTGGGTCTGGAGCTCTGCCAAGGACCCTGCCTTCCTCAGGACAGTTAATAAAAACAAAGTCAAATCTCATTTTAGGATCTAACCGCAGATTAGGATCTGACTTTACTACTAGACAAGGTTTTTATTCTAAAATATTCTGTTCCATCTTTCTATTTGTTCGAATTATTCCTTTCCACAAATGAAGTTTGTTTTATTCTACAGCTTTTCCCTAGAAGGCGGGTGGGTTTTGCCTTCAGTTCCTGGGTCTCTGCAACTTTCTGATCTGCAGGGATGAGGACAAAGGAAGAAGCACTGGCCAGCCAGAAGCTGGGGCCAAGAGCCGGGGCCCAGAGCCAGGGCCAAGAGCTAGGGCTGAGAGCCGGGGTCGAGCTGGTGCCTAGAGCTGGGCCAAGAGCTGGGCCGAGAGCTGGCCTAGAGCCCAGGCCCAGAGCGGGTTGTGGTACCCGAGTCCCCTGGCCAGCTGGGTCATGTGTGCCTGTGGGGAGGAGGCATGATCGAGACGCTGGCTCTGACTGGGCAGTCAAGGTACAGTTGTGTAATCAGCCCCTGCCGGATTAGCCTGGTGTGAACGCGGTGAACGCCTGGGAGGGTAGCCACCTGTGCAAGCTGTTTGCCTATGGAGTTGAGGCCCTCAGTCCCCATCGAGCTTTGTCCTCTCTAGCTACCTGCTAAAGGTTCGTTTGTTCCTTTTTTTAATTGAGGTTTTTGCCTTAGGGTGTGTGCTCTCATGAGAGAGAGACAGACAGAGACAGGGAAAGGGAAAGCAAGGAGTCTACCCCCGGGGGATGGCCACACTGCAGTTCCTTCTCCCCCATTCTCCTCTTGGGAACTTGGGCACACACACACATGCACACACACGCACACACATGCACATGAGTTTTAAGCCACTAGGTCTGGGACTCAAACTGCAGTCAGCCATCTGCAGGCCCCCTGCAGCAGGTTTTATGTGCATACCGAAAGATCCTGAAGGGAGGCCAGGGAAACTGGTTTTGCTTTGAGACCTATTAAAAAAGGAGCAAAAATAACGGGTTTTCTGTAAACTTGAATCTACTGATAGCTTACCGAAAGCTCACAGGCAGCCTGGCTGAAAACGACATGCACATCGGCACCTCTGTAGTCACAGAGGAGTTACCTGGGAGGAAGCGCCTGCACCTTTTCTTCTGTTTGTGTATTCTCCTTGCCGTTCTTTAGAAACGAAGATTTGGAAGCATTTTCCAGGGTTATGCTTCAGGTTTCTTTCCAGTGCTCTCTCCAGACGGCAGGGGCGAAGGCGTCCCCAGGGGGGGTTCACGCCGCGGTCATTCTCTGCAGCGTGTCAGGGCTTGGGAACACACGCACATGAGCCTGGCGTGCGTTTCAGGCTGTCCAGGAGCAAATTCCAACTTCTAGCCATGTGGGGTCCGTCTCCCTTGATACTGGGGGTTGGGGCTGCCCTGTGCTTTAGATTTTATTGACCACATTTAGAGGATATCTTGGGTGGCCGTTTAGTAACTACCTAGCTCCTTGAGACTAAACCAGTAAAGAATAGGAGTTTTAAAAACAGTGAATAGGAACCAGCAGTTAGCGTAATGGCTACATCGCTGAACTCCCATGCAGCCGACAGCGGTTCAAGTCCCAGACCTGGTGGCTTAAACTGACGCCGGGCGCGTGTGCATGCGTGTCCAAGATCCCAAGAGGAGAATGGAGGAGAAGGGATTGTGGCGTGGCCATCCCCCCTTGGGGGTGATTTTTTGCTTTCTGTCTCTCTGTCTCTGTTTGGTGAGCCCACGTGCCCTACAGCAAAAACCTCTCCCAAAAAAAAACCAAAACAGTGAATAGCAGAATGAACATTTTTCCCTAGATCAGAGCCCTTTGGTACATAATTATATGAGACATTTAACCTTCTCTATGGTGTGGTTAGATTGTATATATGGGTTTTAGAAAGTTAAAAAGCTATTTCTGGGACCAGCATCTGGCGTGGTGGTTGAGGCTCTGGACATTCACACTTGGCCGTCCATGGTTCAAGCTCCAGGCCTGGTTGCTTGCTTTGTGTGTGTGTGTGTGTGTGTGTGTGTGTGTGTGTGTCTGATCAAATTAAATTAAAAAATAAATGAATGAGTAAATAAAATTAAACTAATAATTCTAAAAAAAAAAAAAAAACCTGTTTCTAGACCTGCAGGAGGTGTGGAGGCTAAGGCAGCTGGATCACTCATGGCCGACTGCATTGTTTGAGTTCTAGACCTGGCAGCTTGAGAACCATGCCAGGTGCACATGTGCACCCAAAATCCCCAGGGGAGAGTGGAGGAGAATGGAATGTGGTGTGGCCATCCCCCCGAAGGGTGATTTTTCCCTTTCCCTTTCTTTGTCTCTATCTCTCCCTGGAGAAGTCATTAAAAACTAAAAACTCTATTTCTACGTGAAGTGTGTAAGTCCGTGGTTTTATAGAAGTAGATGTGACTGGAGATGTGGACAGAACTAGAACATGTGTTTTCTTGACATGAAGTGGATTCATTGTAGCAGGAGCTATTTGTCAGTCCTGTTCTAAAGTGGTTTTACGCCAGCTAATGTCAGCTGCATTATTTGTGGTGGCATGTCTTTCATTCTTGCTTGCTTGCTTTCTGGAGGTCACGTGTGCTCCCTGAGAGAGACAGGGTGACAGAAGGGGAGGAGAAAACGGTCCCGTAGGAATGGTCGCACCGCAGTCCCTTCTGCTCCAGCTCGCCCTCCCTCTGGAGTTTGGGCACAATCGCCCAATGTGTTTCGCAAGTTGCCAGGTCTGGGACTTGAACTACTGGACTGGTCCTGTGTGATCTGGCTTCCTTAGTCACCACGCCACAGAGTTGGCCCTGTAGTAATTCCTTTATTCAGGTTCTACGTCACCAGTTGGCTGTTAGGGTTCTTTGTACCCGGGAGAAGCTAGATGTCTCTGTCTCTGTGAGCACGTCTGTGAAATGGAAGTGACAGTCGGGTTCGAGTGCAGGGGGTGAGCTCCAGAGTCACTGTGCTAGCCAGGTGCAGGGGGGTGAGCTCCAGAGTCACTGTACTAGCCAGGTGCAGGGGAGTGAGCTCCAGAGTCACTGTGCTAGCCAGGTGCAGGCGGTGAGCTCCAGGGTCACTGTACTAGCCAGGTGCAGGGGGGTGAGCTCCAGAGTCACTGTGCTAGCCAGGTGCAGGCGGTGAGCTCCACGGTCACTGTGCTAGCCAGGTGCAGGCGGTGAGCTCCAGGGTCACTGTGCTAGCCAGGTGCAGGCGGTGAGCTCCAGGGTCACTGTGCTAGCCAGGTGCAGGCGGTGAGCTCCAGGGTCACTGTGCTAGCCAGGTGCAGGCGGTGAGCTCCAGGGTCACTGTGCTAGCCAGGTGCAGGCGGTGAGCTCCAGGGTCGCTGTGCTAGCCAAGTGCAGATGCTTCATTTTCCCCTTGGCTTCAATATTCTGAGGGAAAGCGACGTTTGCAGGACATCATAATAAGAGTTGCGGGCCAGTCAGTGGCGTGGTGGGTAAGGCGGCTGGATCAACATGGCCTGCTGCACAGTTCAGGTCCCAGCTTGGTGGCTTGGAAAGCGTGTGTGTGTTTGTGTGTGTGTGTGTGTGTGTGTGTGTGTGTGTGTGTGCGCGCGCATGCGTGTGCACATGGCCAGAGTCCTGAAGGGGAGAAATGGAGGAGAAGAGACGTGGCATGGCCGTCCCTCATGGAGTGCTTCCTCACCCGCCCACGTGCTCTCTGCCTCTCCAGTGAGTGCATGTGCCCTCTGGTAAATAGAAGGAGGAAAAAATCGGGCAAATATAAAAATATACTAAAGAGGGCCAGCAGATGGAGTAGTGGTTAAGGTGCTGGACTCCCACTTGGTTGGCCACGGTTTGAGACCTGGACCTGGAGGCTTAAAACAATGCGTACCCAAAGTCCCTAGAGGAGGATGGAGGAGAAGGGATTGCGGTGTGACCATCCTCCTGGGGGTGATCTCACTTTTCTTCTCTCTGTCTTTCTGTTTCTCTTCAGCAAGCACACACATGGTATGACAAAAATCTTAAAAAATTAAATGACAAGAATTTAATAATTTAAGGAACAATTCAGGAAATTTTTTTTTTAGAGGGGTTTTTGCTATATGGCGTGTATGCTCACCAGAAAGACAGAGAACCAGTGAAACAGAAGCAAGAAACATCCCCTGGGGGGATGGCCAAACAGCAGTCCCTTCTCTTCCATTCTCCTCTAGAGACTTTGGGCATGCACACACATGTGCCCAGTGTGTTTCAAGCCTCCTGGTCCAGGACTTGAACTGTGGTCGGCCATATGGGAGTCCTGTGACATAACCAATATGCCATCTGCTCATCCCAGGAAATAATTATTTGTTTATTTTTAAAAATTATTTTATTTACTTAATTTTATCAGAGAGGGACGGAGCTAGAGAGAGAGAGTGAGAAAGCAACCGCCAGGCCCGGGACTCAATCCTCGTCAGCCGTGTGGGAGTCCAGAGCCCTTAACCACCATGCCACC